GAAATGTAATCTGAGATGTCTCCTTCCCAAGTGGAGTAGGTACCCAGGCTACTCAAACCATACTAGAGAACACCACCAGGAAGCGGACAAGAACACCTTCCATCGTTGGCTTGTCTTTATAGTGTCAGCTGCACTCTCGCAAGCGAAGTCTTGGCGCGCGCACAAAGCTCAATTCGTAAAACTCTTGCCAAAATTCAAAATGACATGCCCTTCGAGTTTGTATCTTTCCTTTGCATCATCTTGTGAACTTGTCCTAGTCCCTCTCGCGTCCATCCCAAAGAGCTATCTCCCAGATTTGCGCTCCACGCTTTGCTTCCTCCGTCGGGTATAAATATCGGCGTGGGCGTGTATTTGGTGACCGGCTGAGGCCAGAGAAAGTCGACGAGAGGTGTGGTCATTGGGATGAGGATGTACTAGGTCGTAATTGCAGACTTGATGAAGCTTTGCTGAGAATCGGACTCTTTGGGAGTGAAAGATTGACGTGGTGGAGTAATTTGAAATTTTGCCTCGTGGGCCAACTTCTTTGACATTGCGAAATTTGACTGAACTTGGCTCTGGGAGAATATTTCATTCCCAGTTCCTAGAGGACACCGCGTACAGGTGTTCAGTCTTGCCCTCCGAGATATATCTTCATTAATGTGCAAAAGTGAAGTTACTGTAATAATTATTACTTTACAGATTGGGGGAAGCTCGTCCTTTATCCCCTAGCTTGTTCGCTTGTAGACCAATCACGTAACCAGTATGCAGCTCACCAAAGTGTGCTCCCAACTGAGCAGCCATACGATTTGTCCTGCATCAACAACCCATCTCTCGTACTGCACACATTACTACTTGTAATGTCGGTAATAGGAGAGCCCCGCCCCCGGTGGTTTTTGCGATTTTTCCCGGCTGCCATACACCCGCAAATGGCCATCGTTGCGTTGGCTGGAGAGGGGAGATAATGAAGGGCAAAGGGCTCCTCTTCGTGTATGATCGAATGAGGACTTTTGAGGGGTGGTACTGTTTGAGGGGAGCTGTATGGGAGGCATAGGAGGGGATATACTACTGGTATAGGTATCCTTGGCCGGTAGGTAGAGAGGACCTGCGTGTCCTATATAGTCATAGACTCAGATAGGACAATAAAATGAATTAATAACACTTTAGCCTGTAATTGCTTCATGTTCAGGGCTAACTTGATGCTGGACGTGAAATCCTCGCAAGTCATTCAACTCTCTCACCTCGTTCTCAACGTGGACCTTTTTTCAAGTAACAAAAGAGTAGTTTTTTAATTTCATAGTGATTTCAGCTATCCGACCATGTCATGATTAAAATTTATTATTCTAACCGTCCCTCCGCCTACTGAATCTCTACCTCTTCCATCCAAATAAATTATTTTCAAATTTGATGTCTTAATTCAACCCCCTTTGGTGCTGCCATGCACCTGGACGTATCCAAACTCCGCAGTAATGCTCACAAAAGGGAAGAGGAGCACTTTACAAGGCGTGGCCTCTGCCAGAGAGCGGCTCAACATGCAAGATGGTCACAGACTGAAGTAGTACAATAAACATACACCTCTATCGATGTGGACGTTTTACAGTCTGCCGAAGAATAACAGAGTGGGAGGTGACTACGCTGAGATTGTTTCTGACCCGAGAGGAGATGGGTGTGGAAGATAGGGAAGTGGCGCAGAGCACCGTAACTTCGACATTTACTGTTCCTTTTTTTCATTTGTCGCTTCTGGCTTCACTGCCGGTCATGAAGGCAACATCGAGCTCTCAGGGCCCATACACCCGTGTTACGTCTAAATAGAAGTTAGGTTCTTCCTGTCACGCAAAAGATTTACATATCAATTTACGTGTAGACTTTGCATTGCTGATCAGAAACTAATTGTGAAAAACAAATCATCAACGGGGATTGAGCCCGAGGCGGGGCTCGAACCCGCGACCTTGAGGTGATCAATAAGAGCCACACGCTCTACCGATTGAGCTACCCGGGCCTTGTTGATTATCCATGACTATCAAAATTTATATTCCGTGCGCCAACAATGAAAGACAAAACTATATGGATAATCCCCTCATCCGCCACTTGAGACGGTAGATCGATGGTTTAAGTCCGGCAAAACACAACCTATTTTCTTGCGCCGTTTGTATGCATGGATAGTCAAAGTTTTTGGAACACCTATTGATGGGTACTTACGGAGGAGGGTCGACTGTGTAAGCAGGACAACCACATAGTGGTATTAGCGAATTAAATACAGAGTATGAGCGCTTCCAACATGTATACGTAGTTCCGGTCATGTGTCATAGCTATATAGCTGTATACTCATCAAATTGTTTAGAAGAAACCCCCTTGATCCATTTGCCTAATGATGTGATGATGCTGCTCTTCCCTAGTATCATGCAGAATAGAAAGATATCCAGTTGACTAGCTCTATTTATACAAGGACACAAGCTTCAACGGCTTCCTTATAGGGCTATCCGTAAAGGTGGGTTGTAGGAATATTCTTGCACACAGTACTTCTAATCGTGGTTGGGGAACTCAATCCCGAAACCAATCAGGAGAGGACATGGATTAGTCATAGGAGGAAAGGTGGCCTAGGCTGACGTAGAATTCTTTGGAGGTGTCCTTGGAGATAAAGCCCTTGCGGTATTAAGATAAAATAACTTGCTTCTTCATTCATCCCATATAAAACTGAAAGTAGTCGTCGCTTTAGCCTACGGCATCAACGCGTGTAAATTAGCCGCAGCCATGGACATCCATCGGTGGGTAAGGTTGAGAGGCTTTTACGAGCCTAGTGGACCTGGATCACCTCTATTCGTCTGGGATCCGCGTGAGGCGAAGCCGTGCCTCGCTGGTTTGGATAGGTCATGCCGGTAGAGTATCGATGAAGCTGATGACGATATGCTGATGGTAGTGCGTGATTACTCGAGAGGATGCCGAGAAAGCTGTGGTATTAGATAGATAGTAAATGGCGAAATATGGCTCACTATTCATGCATAAATGATTTGTGGACGCCCCTGGGTTGGGCATCAAGTGCTCGCGACACAATCAGTGTGACTCATATCCAGATTTCCCTCGTCACCTCCATCTAGACTTTCTTATTTATATCCACATCTAAATATTTTCTATTGTGAGAGGTTCGCGAGCATGTGCCAGGAAGTGGTCAAGCAGTAAGAAAGCGCACAGTCGATACCACTGCGCCAATTGACCGTAGATAAGCAAAGGGTCCAGTCTGATCCACGGACCATGGCGCCGCATGTAGCCGACAGACACATGGCTGTCCCCGTGACCAAGATGAGACGAGACCTTTAGACTTTGAATCGTAGGAACGGGACACGAGGGTAGATGCTGTTAAATTAATGGAGTGGATGGGCAAGCTTCAGTCGGGTTGCGAGATTGGCTCCAAGTACCAGAGTGCGGTCTCGGGCGTAGCCATGACCTGCCGGAGCATTTTCGGCAATGGTAGAGTTCCAAGGGCCCTGCTACCGGCGAATGGAACAGGTGACTGGAAAAGCGACGGTAGTCACGGGGTGGAGAAGGGCCATAGGCCACGTTGCAGGAAGACGCGACCCTTGATGGGCACGGGCTGGTGCCAGACGAAGCACCCTGCAGTCGCACTAGAAGCTAATGGGGAGATGTGTCGCTAAGCCTGGCCGGTCCAAGCGAGCGCCCTGACCCCAGTGATCCGGCTTCAGTCGACTGGGGAACACGGGTCCAGAAGAATCCTTGCTAACGTCGCAGTCAACACGCCGCCTCGGTCCCGAGTGAGGCCATTCTGCGCCGCTTCCGTTTCCCAGCCGCGACGCCGCTGGCCATGGAGATTACCGTGAGGCCATGGAGCATCAGCGCAATTTGCTCGAAGTGCCGGTCGGCATGCCACGCACTCCCTCTGAGCCTCTAGCCCTGACGCTCGCGCGCGCGGGCATTACGTGCAGAGTTCTGAGGAAGCTTTTCGCTCGGACGCCCGCTCATCAACTCGGCCGTATAGCGTCGGGCCCGAGGTCGATTCGCGGGAATAGAGGCGGCCCAGCTTCCGCTTACCCTGGCCATAGTTGCTGCGGTAACAGGGTCGGCTTGATCGTGGGGCGCCATGGCACAACGTCGTCTTCAGCGCGTCAAGTCGTCTCGTACTCGTGGTCGGGTTTATCATGCAGCCCACGAAGGTATGGCCTATTTACAGACAGTCATGTCAATCTTACGTACGCAAGTCCATTAACTGACTTTTGCCGCTGAAACACCGTCAAGTCTGATGCGGGCCGGCCGTCTTCGCTCAAGACGTGGCAGCTAGTTTGCACAGCGCAGGCCTATCGACGAGCCAGACTTGCCGCCGCAAGAGGAGCGAGTGCTGAATCTCACCCACACGCTATCCAGAGCGTCTCTTGTGCAGACAACGGCGTCGAGTGAAGGAAGCCGGCCCTATCCCGAGTCTCGACGTGACCGTACAACCGTCGTCAGCCCTCGGCCCATTCTCGACTCGAGACATGCGCATTCGCGACGAACGTCGCCTCAGCCGCGGGGGCCCGGCCGCACTCCAGCTTCTGCAGGGCCGTCGACTGTGCTGCTGCGCATCTCTTGGACCCTCCGACTTTGTCATCTGGCCCGCCAACCATGCTCTTTCGACACGCCAGCCGCACGGTCCAGCGATCTGAATAAACAAACTTTGTATCCCCGGCGCGAACTCCACCACACTGCATCGTCGTCGTCGTCGTGTCCGCCAGCCAGCCTGCGTCTACATGACTCTCATCCTCTGACGGCGGTCGGTGCGTCACTTTTCCCCTTTTTCCGCTGATGGCAGAGAACAGGTGTGGTGCGCGTCGCATCTCGTCGAAAGACTCATATATAGCGCTGGCTCGACCTCACTGTCTCCTCACCTCTCCAGCTGTGCTCAAAGTATCTGTTGCATTCACCTCGACAAATCATTTGAAGCTTGAAGCCTCTCAATCTCAACGTATCCTAATTTTAATACTCTAATCTCTCTCCACTTCATCACTTCGTCACTTTATCCACACCACTTCGCCAATATGCAGATCAATTCCGTCCTCATGGCCGCTCTCATGTCCGCCTATGTCCATGCCATCCCACTTAACATCAATCTCGGCGCTTATTCACCCGCCCTGGTAGTCGGTGATGGAGAGATTTCATTCAAGGGTAAAGAAGATGTCTCAGATCTTATGAACGCACTCGAAGGCGCTGCTGTTGAGGGTGCCGCCAAGAGTAAGGCCGCCGGAGGTGCACCGCCGCCCCAGGGATCTCCTGCCGCCGCCCCACCGCCCACAGCTGCCCAAGTCTCTGGTCTCGGCGAGCCTGAGCCAGCACCACAAGTTAGCGCACTCCAGGGAATGGGCAAACACATTGCGCCACGCGTCGTGCCCCTAGTCAAACGCGACAATGACCCACGCAGTCTCAAAGGCTTCGGCGCCGCCCTCGACTATGCCGTAGCAACCCTGAACAAAGGCCCTGCCGTCGAACTCAGTACAGGTCCTTCCGGTTCCGGAATTGGAGTCAAAGTCACGCCCACTGGCGCCGGAGCACCAAAGGCTCCCGGTGGTGGTGGTGCTGGAAATGGTGCAGGTGCAGGTGGTGGTGCTCCAAAAGCTGGAGGAGGTGCTGGAGGCGGTGGTGCTGGACCTGGAGCAGGCGCTGGCGCCGGAGCTGGAGCAGGAGCTGGAGCCGGAGCAGGCGCAGGAGCAGGCGGAAACAAAGGTAATGGTAAAGCTGTCATTGGCCGTCGCTCCGATCACGCAGATCCCAAGCCCAAGACGACCGTCACAACCATGTTCATCCGCGGCCGGCCAAATCTCGATGCTGGTAATGTTACCCCCGTCTACACATGCCATACCCAACTAACTCTCAATAGCCACAACCCTCGAAGCAGGAGAAGTGCTCGAAAAGCGGGCAACTCCCGGCCTCGATGGAGTAAGTCTCAATGTCGCTCAAGGCCAGGTGGCAGAGCTCACCTTTGTTGAGACACGCTCAGCCGACGATGCAGAGAAAGACGAAGAATAGATCACGGTTACTGGGCCTCCAGAGTAGTGGGCACGAATCTGTATATGTATATGACGGGAGCATATCTCTTTACTCAACTTGGCGCAACTGATTTCTGATTATGGGAGGGCGCGGGCAGGCTTGGTTCATGGCCGGGAGAAGAACGTAGGACTGTAATTTGACCATCTACACCATCATCTGCATATTTCATTGCGTAACTAGTAATAATGCGAACCCTTTGACTGGGCAAATCTGAGCTTTTGATCTTGTTTGCGTCCTTCGTGACCATCGTCCTCCTCATAGTAACCCCTCGCCTCTGTATTACGAAACACCCCATCTACAGGACAAGAATTTTCGGTAGACACTGGCACAACTCGCCCCCATGACTAGATCGAAATCGACGCACAAATTCTCCAAAAGAGATGGAAGCGATGTTTGCTAACAAATTTCTGTCTCCATGAGTACTACTCGCTGATAGAGAAGACGAAGCACACATTCACCGTGTTATCTGCTGACTCGGGAGTGTAAGGATCTTCCGGAGTCAAGCTAAGTCAAATTTCGCATCTAGCACGACGTTTAAAGAACTATGCGATCAAACCTCGCAACACCGAAGCAGTTGGCACACGGGGCGATGATTGAATACACCCTCCCAAACCAATTTTTCGCTCCCAACGAACACCATTCCTACGTGATTCTTTTCATGTTTGCAAGCACGACTAGGTAAATTGCCCATTACAATTGTTGAAATTGGTGCTTCCAATTATGGTAAAGACAGGGATGTGTAGAATACACATTACTAATCTCCCATTAATTGTGAGGTTAGTATTAATGCGCTTTGACGTAAATACCAACCACTAGATTTTATTATTACAAAATATAGTTTATATAGCACTCTGTGTCCTAGTGGGAGTAATTAATAACTCTCCACGACAGATTTACAGACTCCTTTACTTTCCCACTCGCTTCACCAAGTGATACAATCTGTGCCTAACAGCCACAAGCTTTTGCAAACCAATCCGCTCAACAACAATGACCATACCACTCGTCATCTCAGTCTGCGGCCTTGGTCTCCGAGTGCACGCCGATCTTAGTACCGGCCGAAGGGAAAGCACCGTGGCCAACAAATCTGCAAGCCAGCTTTTCCGTGAGGGCGTGAGAGAGAGCAAGGTCAAAAGGCAGGATGGTACGAGTGACGCTCACAATCTAGGGAGAGGTTAGATGTTGGTCTTTGGAGAGTCGTGGGCATTATACGCTGCATGACTTCGATTGGGTGAGAACCGCCTTGGCTGGATGGTGCGGTGGTACATCGTCTGGGCCGCTCTCCCGAGTAAGGTCTGCACACGGACACAAATCCCATTCGAGCTAGTAGATCGCTGGTTCGCATTCGGCTAAAAACAGGCCCATATCTTGCGGCGCTGCTATGCAAAGATGACGAAGGCACACTTGGAGAATCAAAGGGTTTGTAATTCCCTTCGATGGGTACTCACCGAGGAGAGTCTACTGATGGCGTAAACCAGCAAACCTCTTTTTTTCAATTCCTTGTGCATTCAGCTATCAAGCCACGACACATTATTTACATGATATTTAACCCCAGTACTCCTTTACATATAATCTACACACTTCCCTGTTAATTCCACTTGTGTGCTGCCATGCACTTGGATGTGGCCAAATACAAAAGTAGAGCTCCCTCTCCTCTCACTGTTCTAAATAATGTGGGAGGTGTCCTTGGCTGGACGCCTTCAAAACATCAGTTTCTTTGATCTCGGAATTGAGGACAATGTCGCAACTCGTCTTGCATATTCCGTCTCTCTCTCTCCCACAAAAGTGACACACACCGCCTTGAACCTTCCCAATAATGTGAAGATAGACACGTATATTTCCAATCCCCAGCCTTGCCTGGAGGAATCCTGACTCTATCTCTCAGCTGTGGTCTTGAAATCGGAATAGTTTGAAAGAAATATTGGGTTCAAGCATACCTCAAGGTGGGATTTGCGAATGAAATTCAGAGCATGAGCATGTTTGCCATCATAAAAGTCATCCTACATATACACATAGTACCGACCATTTGTCATAGCTAGATAGATGAATGCACACTAAATAACTGAAAAAAATACTTTGCGTGCCATGATTTTCTTGGCACGTATTAGTGTGCAATTTTCGAGATAGTGAGGTTCAATGGTGCAATGGTAGACTGGTTGGATAAGCAGGTACAGCAAATATGACATGGTCCTCACTTCAACTTACCTTTTAGCAGTGTAATTTTCCGGGGAGTCTGAAAGTTTTTTTAAGGTTTTTATTGTACTACTTGAGTCTAAGACTATTTAGCACATTGGGCTCCTCTCTGACCCAGGCCACACCTTGTACCATGCTCCTGTACTACTATATTCTTTGAAAGATCATTGATATATTCCCCTTGATGAATAGCCATTCAGCTCAGTGTTTACCCGTGGAATTCAGCCACCTTTTCTACGGAACCTTCTACCCAAAAAAAATAAAAATGGTAGCAATGGAAACTGCGTGCGCGGGAAAAAAGTCTCAAAAAACCTGCAGCCCCAGCCAGGCGAGGCCTAGACACCGGGACCACATGAGGTGCGCATATTCATCTATATCTCCCTTCTTCGTAACAGTCGAGGTCGACTTGATCCAATCCACTATCTCCGTATCGGGTGCTGGATACGCTCCGAAAACTCGTCGGATGGCTTCTCCTCCATGATAAAGGGTTGGTGAGGAGTAGGGCTCCGACCCTACCATCTGATCTGATCTTGGTTAGCTTCATGATAATGGTGATAGGGGAATGTGTTGAGAGATGAAGACGATATAGACCGCGAAAGCGATTGGGAATCCTCGTCGAAGTGAGGACTTTGTTACTCAATCTCGGCTCTGCAGACTTTACAGTAAGAGCTGGAGGTTCGTAGGGGACACCACTGAAAGGTGTTCGGAATAGTAACACCTGCGCCGACTTGAAGCGAATACAACACGTAGTGTCCGTGGCATCTTAGCTCAACGCAACGACGGGATACAAATTCCAGAAAAAATTCTTAGCTGAATGAATCATCGTTGGTCATGGTTAGGGCGGGAACGTTATGCAACATTTCTTGCTTTCAAGTTTTGTTCTTACTTTGGGATTTATTGAGGTCACGTCGCTTACTCGAAGGTCAATGTGATCACGTCTGGCATGATGTAGTTCGTGGTTCACTCCATCGCTAGATCTCTTGTGTAGTAAATGGTGATGCCACCGATTCAACAAATCTGCAGTCTTTGATTACAGGTCCTAACGTGCGATTGAGAAGAAACACCTGTTTATTATTGGTCCCAACGCGTTCATACTAGATCTTGACTCTTTAAATTGAATGATCCATTATGTACTTTTTCCTTGATATTGTAACATAGCTAGATAGCTGCACACACAAATAAATTCAGATGTAAGAATGAAATACTGGATCCTGAGTTTGAAGCAGGCGGAGACCAAGCAAGGCTGAAATGGGTATGTGAGGCTCCTATTTCCTTACACGCTGCTCGCCCATCGCATGTTGGTCGGTTGTGTAAGATGCACATTCCTCTTGGAGTAGGCCGCATTGTGGGCCCAAAATCTCCAAATCCATCAACATGAACGAACAAATTGATAACCCGATCGGTGAATCGATTCAGGGAGTCGTGCCTCCTGCGGGGACTTCAGACGACCTGCCGAGCGAAACTGATATTTCTCAGACGACGGAGGAAGCTGAGAGATTCGCAGCGGACCTGAGTCAACGCTGCAGGCGCCTCTTGGAAGAGGTAGAGATTTTTGAATCTTTGATCAACTCCCAGCGACGAGAGCTACCTACGCACTGCGGAACCCTCGACCGCCAAAGGTTCCGCGTGGGCTACGATAACTTGGACGCCAAAGTGTTCAAGCGTGAACTATTGAGTGAGAAGAGTCAGCTAGAAAAGGTCAAGCTAGCCATAGCGGAATCGTTGCATAGGATGCGTACTAATTCAGGCGCAGGCTGGGCCCAAATCCATGGTGAAACTAGTATCTATGAACCTGCCTCGTCTGGAATCAGTTTGGTCCGTGTGCAAATCATGTAATTCTGTCACTGCGCTTGGGAAGAAGTTTTACTGGAAGTTTGGCAAGGTCAATGGATACCCCAAGGAACGAATTTTGAGGGGATATGGCGCATATTCTGTGAAGGTAGATATTGTTTCCGATAGCGGATTTGAATGGGTCAAAGTGTGCTGGGTCACAGAGAAGACGTTGCTCTTTGATATGGCCAAACTCGGCTTGGTCGATTCATCAGATTCCGATGAGAGTGAACCGAATGGGGCTGCCGACATGGAAGAAGATGTGCCGCGTATCCTGAGACAGGCAAGAGCTCTCAAAAAAGCTGCGGATGCAACGCGGCTGAAGTATCGACATCCCAAACTTCGCATGGTCTTTCCTCGACTCAACAAGGTCGAGGCTTCAGATACAGTCTGCAAGCTTTTGCAGCAAATCAAAGATCTAGAGATTACAGTTGAGACTCTCGAGGACTTACCGCCGTCGCGTCCTATTGCCGAGGCTTTACCAGTCATGGCTGCGCAACGTCACCAGTATTTCGGCCATTCACTCAATCTTGACTGTACCATCTTGCTGGCGCTCATCAGTGACTTGAGCCATGGGTCAGTCGAACCACAAGATTGGCACTGTGATATGATAGTCTCGCAGATAAAGCTCGAGGAATTGCATCACTTGTTACCCGAGAGCATCTATCCTGTCATGGCTTCTCGAAGACTAGTCTGTACTAGAGAGGCGGCGACCCGCATGATTGAAATAGCAGAATCTCTTGGAACAGAGGCTGAAAAAGCCCGGACTGCTCTCATATTTGATCGTCAATGTACCCTTGACAAAGAGGAGTCATCAATCCTAGAGAGATTCCAGAAGCTCTCGAATTATGTAGTACCTACAACTCTGTGTTTGCCAGTCGAGATAATTGATTTTGACCTCCCCGAGCTCATGGAAAAACTTCCACCTTTTGTCAAAGAAATATTTCCCCGCTGCTTTACTGCCATAAATCAATCAGTTTTTCTCTACGGTTGGCATTCTGGCATTACAACGCTCAGTAGCAATGAATCGGTCTCGCGCAGAGTAGAGCTAGTAGTAGAGGAAAATCGACTCGATGACAACATGGGAGGCCCAGACATATGGGTTTGCCCATCCTCGCGATCTTTAGTGGGTAAAGAGAAGAAAAGAAGGGGGCCGGTACCAGTACTATCTAGACCCGAAATAGTCGGCCCTAAAGAAATGAAAAAGAGGGAGAAGCTAGCCAAATCTATTCTTTTAGAAACAGGAGAAGATTTTGATGGAGTTCCCGAGCTTGCCGATGAAAAATTCATTAGCGAACCTTCGCTCCTTAATAAACCCTCTATTTAATTTATGCATGCATAGTATGGTCGGGTTTATACAGAAAAAATAATAGATCGAAGAAACGCTGCATTGAAGCTTTTAACAGCGGAAATCAAGGTTTATATCGCGTGCTTGTCTCCAGCAATATCCTGAGCGCGTGCGTGTAATTAAGAGATACCAAAATTGAAGAATGGTTATAAAAGTGGTATGCATCACGAACTGGGTGAAGTGTAACCTCTGAAATGATACTGTCGCTTGCCTATGATGTGAAATAGTATCATAATTATTATGGAGCAGTGGTAATTATCTTCTTGCTATGCTCATGAATTGATCACCAAATCTCACAGGAGCTCTACAAGAACTGCATAGTCGTTCTCCAAAACTAACTAGAAGCCAGGCTCTTGCATGTAGCTCGGCACCAGGCACGAATTTAAGTTGAGGAGTCTCATTTCGCAAGCTAATACGATGGTTGATTTTCCTACGCGGCTCGAGAACGATACATATCGTGTGATGTTATGTTTTCTTATTTCTTCACAGTTAAAAGACTTTATAGCGTATGAAGGGTCTCTCTATTCTGGAAAGAAGGCCCAAGACGTGCCCTCAATACCGTCCCCATCTAAACATCTAACTAGTCAAAAATACTCAAGAGAGCATATACATGGAAGAATGCGCAGCTCTATAAGACTTCCCTTCTCACTCGGTAAATCAGAGGCTATCTAAGCCTGTTTGACAGTCAGAAAATTTCGCAAAAATTACTAGATGCGAGCCATCATCACGAAAGGTACAAGAACTAATCAAATTTTTAGAACATAGGGCAGAGAATTGACCATTAATCTTGTTGGGAAAGGTTATCGGTGCCAACTAGTAACCTTTTCCCACTCTATTTACTTTTGCTTCCCTATCGACGAAAACCTCCCGAACCAGCACTATTCCGACAGCTTCAACATAGATTTCTAGCAGCAAGATGAGACTAAGAAGTCTTTGCTGCTTATAGCTATCGCTTCCATCACGAAGACACTTTCGTAATGTGCTTTTTTCGGTATGAGGAATTTCTCGCACACTTTTTGCGCTGTCAAATAAATACCAAAAAACGCAAAGGCTCAGGCGTACCGAAGTATTTAACGCACTCTCATGGCAAACCGGTAGCTTCGTAACCCAACGCCAATTATTTCGTTTGCTAGACACGATGTGGATAAGTATTAAATTAAAAGAGACTAGGGAATAGCAGGGTGAAGTCAAGTGTGATAGATGCTGATTTGAATCTTTTATCACTTAATCTAGTATTTTTTTAATTTTGCTCTCTACTTTGCACGCGTAAGTCTTTTAGCTATGGGCACCGACCAAATAAGAAAGACACGCTCCGAGAGGTGATACATGCCAGCTCCGCTGGCTCTGCGTCAAAATTGCACTTGGGACGTTGGCTTAGAACCGAAAGATTAAGATATAAAAAGTTGACTATTGGTGACTGTCCTAACTAGATCCTTGATATAGGCCCATGAAGATGGATTGACATATATCTCAAGGGAATAAAGCTTAAAATAAAACCCCGAACCTCACCACGACGATACAACCCAGCTTCATGTCGGGGATGTTTCTATAAGTCATTTATTCATGATTAATTCTGCGAATCTCGTACACTCCTACTTCTTTAAAGCAGTACTTAGGTGAAGTTGAAAAGAGACGACAAATCCTCGTCCGGTGCTATTTTACGACGTGTTCTATGAAACAGCCTGATAGCCGTGCTTTGTCGAAGCTGTAATTCTGTTTTTTATTTCTTTACGTCGTGCCGACGCACAATACTAGATTATGAAGGCCAAGTGCGGGTTAGCTCAACCTATATGGACTACCCGACTTGCCAATGCCCCCAAAGAGGCCTAGCTGATAAAATATGAGGCCTAGCAACTGCTCAGCGCCTAACAAAATTTTAGGGGTCTTGAAGGGCTGAAAATCTCTGCCAACCTTCAAGGTGGTGCCCTCGCAATCTTCAATCCTGCATTTCAAATACCTTCAAAGCTTCCAAGGCCTAGCATCCCTCCCATCTTCACTCGCAGGCTTTGATTTCTCCAGCGGACGTTCCTGCTCTGAAACCCAAGTCTGGCCTCCGACAATGCCCGTCGACAATAGTATTGTGTTGGAAAATATACTCTGTACGATATTATATGGATAAATATGATGAAGTAAAGAAGACTTGATATTTTACAACTATGTGAACATTGGACTTATATATACATCTTAGGGGAGAAATTCCCACTAGTCTCATGTGCCTGTCAAACCTAGTGATGACTAGCCATCTCTCATCTACCATGATGATCCAAGGTAAGCTGTAGTACGTAAATATCCAATTGTAAATGCAACAGTAGGTGCGATTAGCGCACTCGTGACATGTGTAGAGAGAGTCGATCTTGTCGGGAAACTGAGACGAAACAGGTAGTGGTTGAGTCCTAAATTCGAGAGTCAGAATTTCAAACATATTGGAAGAAGGGCTCGCGGGTCGTATTATTGCTTTTTCATCATTAAATAAGGACTTTAAAAATTGTTAGGCATATCCAGGAGGGCTGCGACATGCAGCTTGAACTAATATTGTCTTGATTTGTCTTTTTTAACTTCTTCATCACTTATGTGGTCGAGAAATCTCTGCAAGCCACGAGTTTCGACTAGAATCAGGCCAGCACCGCTCCTTCTGACGAAAATCATTTTTTTGCATCAGATTTTAAGTTGCGTATGCAGCTATCTAGCTATGACGCAATATCAAAGAAAAGTGCAGAAAAGATGACTCAGTTTACAAGAAGAGTACTCATGCCTCAGATTTCATTTGCAAATACCACTGCGAAGTTATGGCGGCTTTTTCTTCACCCCAAGTCAACCCTCATCCGTGGATACCCACCCAGGGGAACATCTCAAAAACCCTGAGTTATCCAGACATGCCTTCATCATCTTTCAACTTTTCTCCGCGCGATATGTGATCTAAGGTGTCTTTTTCCCAAGTGGAGTAGGTACCCAGGCTACTCAAACCATACTAGAGAACAACACCAGGAAGCGGACCACAACACCTTCCATCGTTTGCTTGTGTTTATAGTGTTAGCTGCACTCTCGCAAGCGAAATCTTGGCGCGCACAAAGTTCAATTGGTAAAACTCTTGCCAAAATTCGAAATTTCACGCCCATCGAAAACCTATCCCTCTTCTGCATCATCTTGTGAACTTGTCCTGATCCCTCTCATGTCCATCCCAAAGAGCTATCTCCCAGATTTGTGCGCCACGCTTTGCTTCCTCCGTCGGTTATAAATATCGGCGTGGGCGTGTATTTGGTGACCGGCTGAGGCCAGAGAAAGTCGACGAGAGGTGTGGTCATTGGGATGAGGATGTACTAGGTCGTAATTGCAGACTTGATGAAGCTTTGTTGAGAATCGGACTCTTTGGGAGTGAAAGATTGACATGGTGGAGTAATTTGAAATTTTGTCTCGTGGGCCAACTTCGTTGATATTGCGAAATTTGACTGAACTTGGCTTTGGGAGAATATTTCACTCCCAGTTCCTAGAGGACACCGTCTACAGGTGTTCAGTCTTGCCCTCCTCTGACGAGAATCGTAGTAAGGAAAAATCTTTTCGAGCATTGGGAGATGACTGAATCGTGGTTCTGAGCGAATATTGAGCTCCCAGGTTCGTAGAGGGCACCGCTGACATTTCTTCCATTCTTATCCTCGCCCTCTATCCTCTTATTTTTATCGTCTACCCGGCGAAAGCAGACGCTATTGCCCCATCCCAGAGGGATTTGGTGACTGCTCCCTCTATCCTCTTGAAGGCTATGGAGAAAATTCCACTTCGGGCGGCACATGAGACAGTGGTTTCACAATATACGGTAGAATTTTGGTCTGATAGATATGTTACCCTTTCTGTATTCGATTTCATTTAGCACGATTTAGCGCCCTATGGGCCCGTGCAGGTGACAACGAACTCTAATATTTACATAAAAGGAAACCTTGCAGTACAGACCGTTTAGCTGTCTTATTGAACTTTACCCCATAATGGTCTTAACTCCGACAAGCTAAAGACAGGTCATTTGAAGCAATGATGAACAGCCCAGAAGACATGGCCAGAATTACATAGTGGATACTAAACAAAGGGTGGATAAAACAGTTTCGACTGGCAGGAGAAGTCGAGGTAGCAATATCGGATAAAGTAAATAGATCTGGAAGGAGAGAGAACGGAATCTACACGGGCTGAACAGTGTACACTGCACTTCCTGAAGGTAAACCAAATAAATTGATAGGAAAATAAAAAGACAGAATCAGGGGGTTTTCACCAAATTGGTTTCCTCCTTTGTAAATAATGCAGATAGTCACCTGCATGGACCCATAGGGTGTCTGATCGGGTTAATTGAAATCAAATTCAAATGGTCTTACCTCCAAGGTGTGCCCTCACACTGTTGTTGCCCGTATTGATTCCGTCCTCGTCCTGTGTTTCCATTTTCCTCTCTTCGCCTGATTAACGCCTCAATTTCTCCCATCATCCTTCCTTTTAAATCCACTGTGCATTTCTAGTCATCTCTTTGACCTTATTTACCATGGCTTCAAAGGTCGGGTTATCGATTTTCGTGGCAACTCGCCTCTTCCCTTTGCCCATCTTGGACAAGACATCACAATGTGCTTGATATTCTGCGACGGTTATCCACATTAGCAGCACGGTTTTCCTGCCCCTGGCACATTTCTTCTGTATAAGTAAGCATTGAGCCCAATGTCCTCGCTTCTTGTGTGACAATGCTGCTCCGGGCCCTACTAAGTTTTTGGTGGATTTGGATAGGTGACTCTCTATAGCTCATCATAAGTCTACCTGTTTCTCATCGTTTTACAAATTTGCAGCTTCCCACTTATCCGGATTCCGGTCATTCCTTGAACGTGGCGTTCTTTCCGACTACTTCCTGTCCCATCTTAGACTCGTTGTGATGCAGATTAGGGTCCATTCCGCTATATGATCTCTCCTATTCCGATCACATTTGTTTAATTTTTCTTCAGCGAAAAATTGGATTTTTC